GTGAGTGAGCGTGAGTGAGAGTGAGAGAGTCTCCATCCTTGCTTCTAAGGAGCACTCTGGCCGTACTTCTTCCAGGAGAGACCTGTCTGTCCTCGTGGCAGCCCGTGGCACTTTCAGTGTTCTTCTCCAGCGCCATCCTTCAAACGCATCGATTCTTAGACGAGACGATATTTTGAGACGTTGTCTCGTCCAATGATCACTACTAACAACAGTCACCCGACAGGGGTTAGGGTGTTGAATGTGACCTCAGGAGGCACCCTGCGTGGTGAGTGGCCGACCTCTCTGCCCCATGGGCAAGACTCCAGTTCTAGTTCCGGCAGCGCAGCACCTCAGCAGGCACCAGCCCAGCAGTGGAGGGTGGCGTGTCTTCTGCGGGGCTGCGCAGGTTTCGAAGCAGCTTACAGACTCAGATGGACGAGGAAGAAAGGCCTGGTGATGTAAAGACATCAGCGAGGAAAACCCTGTGTGTTTCCCAGACTATCTCTCTGTGGGAGCAGGAAGCCCAGGCCCTCGGAGCAGCTGGTGGTTTCAAACTGCTGATCTTGCAGTTAACAGCCCAACATCATAACCACTACTCCACCAAGGCTCCTCACCTCATCTTTCTCCTGCAAAGAGGCTAATGGCTTTTAACTGCCAACTGTGTGGATAGAGACCCAGTGCTCACCCAACCAGCATCACCAGGCTCCTGACAAACGTCAGTCTCATTCACTGCCATCAAGACAATCGTGAGCCACAGTCACCCTACAGGACAGGGCAGAATGGCCCCTGTGGGTTTCTGAGACTGTAACTCTGCAGGGGAGTAGAAATCCTTGTCTTTTCCCAGGTGGTCCCGAACAGCTAACCTTATGGTTAGTGGCCCAACAAGTAACCACTATGCTACCAGGGCTCCTTACGATCGATGGACAAACATCAAGAGTATGTGGCAATTCCTGGCAATGCATGCATCATCAAAATGCACCTGTCCACGCACTCCCACTCACAACTCCACGGCATGTCTGCAGGGCCCAGCCATGAAGTCCGATATCTGGCACTTCCCTAAAGCTGGGCTGAGTCCAAGGGGCTGGAGTCGCCTGCTGTTTCCTGAGTTTTCCTTGCAACCCAGTGTTCTCTCTGGAATTGCAGTTAACTACCTGAACCATGGGCCTCAAGGCATTCAACCCCAAAGTTCAAGTGCCAGCCGGCCAGACTGAGCCCCGCAGAGCCCCTAGAGCTGAGGATCCACCAGTTCAGGTGGCGGCAGGAGCAACAGGACACCGGTCACCAGGTCCCTGGCCGTGGGATGGAGGGATGGAGAGGAGGCAGGAGGAGAGGGAGACCCGCACGGCGGTACTCACATGACGAAGGAGCCAGGGGGCGCCGACACTCGGCGTGGGTCCGCGGACTGCACCTGGTGGATGCTAGCGGCGCGGCGGGGAATGGGCAGCAGAGACAGAGCCGGCACACAGTGGACAGACAAGGGGCACGCAGGAGAGAGAGAAAGACAGACACGGTTTAAACAGAGATCCATCCAGTGAGCCAGTCAACGACAACAGAGCCATCCAACAAGCAGGTGGAGCGAGGAAGCCAGCAGGACAGGTGGACGGGGCTGCCTCTCGGTCACAGAGCACAGGGCAGCTGAGGGCCCATGTGGGCCGGGGCTCAGGGACTGGGCCCGAGGGCCGAGGGGATGGTGGTATGGGTGCCAAGGAGGCTGACGGAGACCCTCCTTGTCTCAGTGATTGAGGACTGCCGAGAAGGGGAGGCACACGCACACTCACATGCATGCACACACATGAACACACTCCCCACGTATGTGTGCAAACTCAGACCCACATGCATGTACTCACACACAAACACATTCACAGTGCACACATGCACACGCCCCCCACACACACCCACACACATGTTCACACACACAGAAGTGAGCATATCAGGGCAGGCTAGCACAGTAATGGTACCTTACCCCCACCCCACCCCACCTGCCCTTTTGGGTTTCCCAAACTGTAAATCTTGATGGAAGCAGAAAGCCTCATCTTTCTCCCATGGAGAACCTTGTGGGTCTGAACTGCTGACCGTGAGGTTAGCAGCCAGGCGTGTAACCCACTATGCCACCAGAATGCCCTGCTTCCCCACCAGTGTGCACCCTCTTCTCTGGCAGACCATCCGAGGGTCTCAGGAGTGTCTTGGCCTCAAGCAGGCCCCGCTAGTGCCATCCAGGAGTCAGCTCCCTCAGGAACCCCCACCCCACCCCCTGCTCTGTGATCCTCAAAGGGCCTGGCTGCAGCGGCACCAGCCAGAAGCTGGTCCCCAAACTCACAGCGGCCACTTGAGAAGCTGCCCGTCGGGACCAGGGTGGCTAAGGCAGCCCCTGGTCACCAGGGAAGTCAGGGCAGCAGTGACGCTACGGTGGACGAGCGATTCTGATCACCTCCAAAGGTGCTTTTCGAGTCAGAAACATCCATTTCTCTGACAAGGGTGGTAACAGAAGGTGCTTATAAGTAAGCCCACTGCCCCTGGGTTGACTGGGCCTCCTTGTGACTGGCCAGGCCAGGCCAGGGCTGCTGTGTAAGTTGCCTAGGTGCCAACCCCGTATGAAAACAGACTCTCTCCTGGAGCAGCTGGGGGGATTCAATCTGCCAACGTCTGGGTCACCAGCCCGATGCCTCGCTCCCTGTGCCAGCAGGGTGCCTGAAACGAACAACCGCAGAACCAAACTCCCCGCCTTCGAGCGGCTGCCGACTCACAGCGACCCTGTAGGACAGAGTAGAACTGCCCCCGGGGGTTTCTGAGACTGGGATGCTTTAAGAGAGTAGAAAGCCTTATCTTTCTCCCGAGAAAAGACTGGGGATTTTGAACTGCTGACCTTGTGGTTAGCGGCCCAAAGGGTAACCATACCTACAGGGCTCCTTACAGACTTACTAAACGGTGGCCATTAGAATATGAACAAGCTGCTTGCTCCCTCACTCCCTCTGTTTTAGTTTTGAATTGGGTGAAAAAGTTCACAGAGCAACCAATTTTAAAGGTTCACTCTGGTAGGCCCAGGTGTTGCGATGCTTAAGCAGGTGACTTCTAACAAAAGGTGGGGAGCCCCACGCCACTCGACACTCGGTTGGTCAGTGCTCTGCGTGAGAAAGAAGTGACTCTGCTTCTGAGAGATCCCAGCCTAGGAAACCCTGCAGGAGGGGCTTCCGTTCTGTCCTCTGGGGTCACAGCGAGTTAGACTGGCCTTGAAGGCCCACGACCACCATAGCAGGTTTGTGCTACTGTGGACACAACTTCTGGGACCAGAGCAGTGTGTCCGACCCAGTCCATGAGCATGACTCTCTGGCACTTGTGTGTGACAGCCACTGGAGACTGTCCTTGCTCACCACAAGGTCCCCACAGAGCAAGGCGGAAACAAGGCCGCCAATGCCCCTGCCACAGGGTGGGTCGGGAGCACAGAGAATGCCCAGCACCTGGACGAAGACTGGGAGGGACTCCAGGAAAGCGCCATGCCGATGGACACTTCCTTGACCTTGGCGCAGGGCGAGCCAGATGAAAAGGGCAGAGAGGGCGTTACCAGCAGAAATTCGGGCACATGGTGGCATACGGCACAGCGTAAGACATGGGTTTAGCCCCAGGGCTTCCAGAGCACCCAGGAGCTGGGGGTGAAGGAAGCCAACATCCAGGATCAGGGCCAGAGAACAGAGGTGTCCAGCTCTGGGATGGTGGCTCTACATGAGAGCTGCAGAATGGCAGGCAGGGAAGGGCAACTCCCCTGGAAGCAAGGATGAGGATGGGCGCGGATCTTTGGGTCACTGCGCAGGGGGCGCGTGGATTCTCTAGCAGGACCTGAGCTGGCATCAACTCCGTGGCATCGGATTTTGGTAGGACTGAAATCAACCGAGAGCCCAAACCCAAACCAATTCCATCTCATAGCGAACTTCGAGAGCGTTCTTTATGGGAGCAGACAACCTCATCTTTGTCCCGAAGAGTGGCGTGTGGATTGAACCACTGACCTTGCGGTTAGTAGTCCAACGCTTACCCAGCAGTGCCACCCGGGGGTGGCATAGCAGGTTATGGGTTGGGAACCTCAAGGCAAGGCCAGCCATCCAACCCGCCAGCCGCTGTGCTGGAGAAAGATGAGGCTCTCTGGTCCTGTAAAGGTTCTCAGCCTGGGAAGCCCAGGGGAGCCGTGCGACTCCGTCCTCTGGAGTCACTGAGGGTCAGAATGCCATCTCGCTGGCAGGCAGTGTGGCAGCGAGAATCAGAAAGTCTGGAGGCGGAAGAAAAGGTGTGGGAGGCTCCTGGAGGCCAGGCTGCTGCTGGACCCAGAACTCCACTCAGATCCCCAGTGGAAGCCATGAGATTCCCAAGCGCGGATTTCTGGTGGAGCAGAGAGGCCCACCGACTGCAGAAGGAGCATTTTAGGGTCGACTGCGAGAGGAATTGAGATGTTGGGTACAAGCTCTCCGCAGTAGCTCAACGTGGCTTTCCTTTAGAAATAAATAATAACAGAACAATCTGCATAATTTTCTAAAAACCTAGAGTTTCCATATGAATTTTCCTAAGAAGCGGTAACTAAGCTCTGTCCCCGTTTTGAAGGGTTGTAAGCCTTCCTTTCAAACAAACAGGAGAAGCCAACGAAGGCAGCTTTCCCCAATCACTGCCAGGTCCCGGCTGCCTGCGTGGAGGCGCCCCCGCGCCCTGGTGGAGGGGATGGCCCAGCTCGCTGTCCGTGAAGTGACTTCCTATGGCCCCTGTGCCAGAGCCCAGAAAGACAGCGTGATCTCTCTTAGTGCTGACATGTGAAGAGCGCTCAAAGCTCAGCAGTTTGGTGGCTGCACTGCAAGCAGCTCTTCCCTGTGACCAGTCAGCTGTTAGAAACGAAACCACCTGAAAAGAGGTGCTCCTTTCCCGAGCCCCGGGTGAGGGCTGAGTTCTGCTGGTCCTGGAGAAGCTGCGCGCGGACCACCATGCAATTGCTGACACTGTTTTCAGCCCACAAACACCCAAAACTCAAACGCACTGCCACTGAGCAGACTCTGACTCGTGGCGACACTGTACGGCAGGGTAGGACTGACTGCCTCTGTGCGTTTCTTTGCGGGACTGGAAAAGCTCATCTTTCTCCTGAGGAGAGGCTGGTGGTTTTGAACTGCTGAACTTTCGGTGGTTCAATCTCACCAATGGTCAGGGCAGAGGGAAGGGAAGGCATTGGGAATAAGCTGAGCGTTTCTTAAGCTACCGAACAGGAACAGTCAGTAGGCACTCATATACACACACCTCAAAAAACAAATACAAAAAATCCAAAGGGCTGGGAGAGGA